TTTTAGCAAACGTCTATCATATCTATATAAATTGTAGTCTAAAATATTGGCCAATCACAGAGATCTTCACCTATGCTACCTCGATACTTACGTATCGAGCAACTATTTATTAGAACTTTCATTTTTTAATGTAATTTTTTCTTTTTTTTTTTTTTACCTAAAGTTTAATTATATAGTTAACAGTTTAATGAGTAATCTTGATTACAAGTGTTAATTTTGATTATAATATTTATATAAAATTATTTTTTATATTTAGTAATATCATGTAATTATTAACTTTAAAACTACTAATAAAAATACAAACAAAATTTTATTTTAATACCAAAAAAAATTTAATAAACTAATTGTCAAAATAAAATGTAAAAATAATTATAATTTTGTATATTAATGATTATCCATACAGGGTACCCTTATGTCAAGAAATTTCCGAGCTAACGCTAAAGATCACTTCTGACCCTATTTGGATTCAATAAAGTCACAGGATCTTAAAAAATTTCTGAATGAAATTTTACATTTTTAAATGTTAGATATATAGAGAATTTTTGAGATACTACTACGATCCAAATTTTTTTGCCGGTAGCTCGTGATTTTTTTGACATAAGGATACCTATCCATAGAATATCAAATGGTGCCTAAATTCTTAATCTGACTAATTCAGTAATACAACAATTATTTCCTTAAGTTAATCTGAGATTTAGGATTAGATAAAATAAAGCATCGGGAAATAATTGCCAGTAATAATAATGTTAACGACTACTTACATATGTATAATATTTAATTAAAGTTTTAATGAATTGTTAGAGAAAAAGTCTTAACAATATAACAATAAATTTATAGATAAGTTTATTTTACATGAATAATATTAATTCATAGATAGCGTTACTAAATGAAACAGGATTTCAAGCTTTGAATTATCAAGGCTGAATTACTGTAAGTTCAAAAGCCTTAAGTCTAGTTTTATTTTAATAGCATTCGAATATAAATGAAAGGCTATTGCTTTGTTTATTGCTTTTATACGTACGTACGTACTTGAATTTCCAATAATAAAGCTTAAATTATTTTTTCTAAATATAGAATTTACTAACTATTTGAAGTCTTATAAATTTTTTAGTAATAATGGGGCGTTCATGTAGGAATCCGTAGAATTTTATCAGCTCACATCAGAATTATAACATAATCTAAAAATGCAAACTTGATGCTCTTATTATAATTTAACTGAAAAAAACCATGCGTCAATAGCAGTACATGATAAAAGAACATGACAATTATCAATGAACAAACCGTTTAATAATACTGAATGAGGGTATAACAGAGAAAATCATTTTATGTATATTCAAGGTGTATTATCTTAGGAATGACTGAATTGATGTCATGAAACAATGAACAAGTTAGTCTAGGAAGATTTCAAAGATTCCAAAGCAAGGCCGGTTGTCGATCACACATCAGAAATGCGCAAAATCCTTTAAAGTTCATTGATGTTTAGGTTAACGTTTGCATTAAGGTTAGATATTAGAAATATATATAATAAAATCGGTCATGGAAACTTTTTTTATTAAAGCATGAAAGATTGTTTTTTATGCAGATTTTTGATAAATAACCGATTTTGACAAAACGAACACGTGTTTTGATCGTGTAACGTTACACTGATATTGATATCTGATTGGTAGTTTGACACTAACCGGTCACACATTCCGGACTTGCAATTCCAAAGTCTTTATAAATTAGATAGTTTCGACCACGTTCGATGCAAAGATAACCATTATAAAGCCAAAACAATAAGTAAGGGGATTGAAATATTAGCCAATTAAATTCAATCATAACAATATGTGACTTGGTCGAATTACAAATCCCCCTAAAAAATCAGCTGATTCTGTCCTTCCCTAAAAAATAAAATAAGAACCAAATTATTACTAAGGATATTGCCTAAAATTATATAACTAATAGAATTTAATTAAAGTCAAATTCCACCAGTCCACAGAGATGTTTATGTATTTAGGTTTATTTCAGTATTTTAGTATTCGAATGTCGCTAACTTAAAATCACAAGTCTATTAATAATAAAATATTTTGTTTTATGTTTAATGTTTATATTTTGTAATTAGTAATGTGATTAGAGTTCCGAATTAAAACATTGAACGTACTTCTATTTGTATTCAAATAAATATTAATACGTATTTGGTCATGCAACTATTGATATTTTAAATCTTGATCGTATTACATTACATCTAATCTTGAAATCTAGTTCAGGAGCAAACCCGGTACACATTTTCCGAGTGCTATTGATGTTATTTAATATCGATATACGGGTGTTTTATAAGTCTCCAAACAGGACCTTTTTTATATCTTCGTAGTATTAGTGTTTATGCTATAACGATTCCACTTTTAATATAGTATAGTAATTTATTTAGTCATTAAAACAAAAGGTCCTGTTTAGGGACTTATCAAACACCCGATATATTCGATATATTTTGGTGCAATATTTGGTACAAATGATACGTGATCTTGTGACAAGACCATATATACATGTCGGATAATGAAATTCTAATATAAATAATAATAAAAAATGGGTACACCTGAGATAAACATAATAAAACAACAAGGCCTCGTGAAAGAATTTAATCAAAAAATGCTGCATCTTTTATACATAAATATTAGATTCGTGATTCAAATGATTATCGTAAAAAGTTCTCAAAATATCCATCTCTTTTTAAAATCATATAACATATAACCCATTGTCGTTACTTTAGAAGCATAGGAGAAAAAATTTTTATGCTGAATACTTTAACTTCAAAATACCTTCATTTACTCATACGGAATAAATGTCCGGAATATTTCAATAATCTTGATATTAGAAATGTAACACTTGGCTAAAATAGGATACATATTTGTATCCACGTGTCCAAAAGTTTAACTTTGTTATAGGAGCCTGCGAAACTACGTATGACATTAAAGTTTCAGGATTAAAAAACAAAATTAACGTATTCCAAAAATCAATGGGGTATTGAAGATCTCATGTTGTTTCAAATTTTGAACTCGGAAATGAAATGGGAGTAATTAGAAACTCCTGTTTCATGAAATTATTGAATTTTTTAATGACAAAGATCATTAATCAGAAAAAACAAAGTTGATACATCGCTTATTTGGAAAGAAATATGTACCTATTTCTGTCAAAATTAGATTCCCTCATTTTAATTCTAAACAAAAAATGACAAGAAATTTTATTTATAGTTACAACAAAATAATCCAATAGGTTTAAGACCATCAAATATTATTTGCCTAGTTAAATATAGATCGCATCAAAAAAGCAACCTAAAAAAATATGATTTGTCATTGTTTATATTAAAAAAAAAACAAGTTAAAATGAGATTTGATTAGATATTATGAAATTATTTAGTTCGCTTTATTGTTTTTACTAATTCGGGTAATTTTTGTAATGGTTAATAGTGATTAGATTAGATATTTTATCAGGTGACACTTATATCACAAAAGATCTAATTATACTGTGTTCACGCAACTTCATATAAATTGACCACAGTAGCGGATATTGTGCATCCTTGTTTCAAAACTGATTTGTTAAGAAATTAATTTTATTCAAACTATCAGCGAAATGGAACGTAAAATCGACGCTCCCGATAAAATTAGCACTAGCACAACAGCGTTTTATCAAAATACCAACAACAGTCAAGAAAGAATCCAGAGTCTAATGGAATCGGACAGTTTAAATTATGATACTTCAAATGCGGAACAGGAAGATGACACAAGAACTGCATTCCAAAATGCGGAAGTCCAGGATACAGGATTAGGCGATACTTCAAATGCGGAAGTCCAGGATACAGGATTAGACGATATTTCAAATGGGGAACAGGAAGATGACACAAGAACTGCATTCCAAAATGCGGAAGTCCAAGATACAGGATTAGACGATACTTCAAATGCGGAACAGGAAGATGACACAAGAGCTGCATTCCGAAATGCGGAAGTCCAAGATACAGGATTAGACGATACTTCAAATGCGGAACAGGAAGATAACACAAGAACTGCATTCCGAAATGCGGAATTCCAAGATACAGGATTAGACGATACTTCAAATGCGGAACAGGAAGATGACACAGGAGCTTTGGATCCGGAAGATGGCACAAGAATCGCATTCCAAAATGCGGATCCGGATGACACTGTTGTAGAAGATCCTTTTACAACTCTGTCTAATTTACTTGTCCTCGGATCAAGTTACTCATACGAGTCTCCACCATCAGTTCTCAACGATCCTGGCGACGTTTACAATGGTTTTAATTTATAAACCGTTGTAAAGAATCGTCGCAATAGGATCAGTAGGCACAGCGCGCATTGATTTAAATTTGCGCACATTTCAATGCTCTCCGTATATAAAGCGCGTATCAAATTTGGTTTGTGCCAATAAAAAATTATTTGAATTTATAACACTGGTTGTAAATGGTCATAGTATTCATTATATGTATTATTATATTATTATGTTTATTATGTGTTGGCGGCATGCTATTCATTATGTTATTCATTATTTTATTCATTATATTATTCATTAAAATGAAATGTATTTTTGATCTTAAATTTCTCGAATAAAGGTAGTTCTGGCCCTAGTTTAAAAAAAGTAATCTTTTTTCCATTTATGAATCTTACCTGAACTTAACATATGTATCAATACAGTACCTTCAATACGTTTATGTTGTCAGTATTAGAAATAATCGTCTATATATTAACTGGAAACCGAAAATCAGTATAAGTTTGAAGCTCGCTCTAGCACCTGAAAAGTATTGTTATGTATGTCGTAGACAGTGTTTAAAATTGGCTTGCACAAGATGCACATATGTAAAAACTTTTTTAATGTGCAAGTAAAATTTAAAAAAAAGAAATTGTAAAAAGTTTATAAGATATATATATATATTTGTAAAAATTATAGTTTGTAAAAAAAAAATCTGGTTTGCTTGTAACTGTTAAGTAAAAAAAAAAATTTATTTGCACAGTTGCAAATAATTTTTGTTCTGAATTTTTAAACACTGGTCTTGGATCAAATTTTCATCCAAAACTACGTTTATGATATTTTTACTATAAATGTATCAAAAAAGTAAATTTGGTTATCAAAGGATCGCTCGAACAATGATAACGCTTCTTGCTCTCCCACAAAAATGTTTCTCGTGAAATTCTACTAACAACCGTCACATTGTTCTAACCATAACCCTAACTATAACGCGGTTTCCTCGATTTAATTTTACATGCAACTTTTTAGAAAACAAACCAAGTTCACTTTACACATTTTGGTTGGTCAAAATTACAGGGGTCAATAATTTTTTGGAAGAGATACATCGGGGTGCCGGTGTATGTAAATCAAACTATACGTGGTCATATAATAAAACTTATTAACGAAAAGAATCACTTTACACGATATTTGTGTGTATATTTGGACTATGCCGTTAATAATTTAGTCTGGGATAATTTTTTATAGAATAGTATGAATAGCAAAGTGAGTAATTGTCCGAGTTGGCCGGAACAGCAATGGCCACCCGCGAAAGTAGCAATCATGATTGCACTTGGGTCGCCGTGGGAATAACAGCTTGCCACAGCAAGCTGGCTAAGAAATAATAGAAATATGTGTTATTTATTTAGGAGTGGGTTGGATTATAGTTGGCGGTAGAATTAATTTTGAAAATTATCGAATTACGGCACGTGCCGTATTTTTTGCCGTAATTGCCGCAATTATAAATACGGAACCAAAATTAAGCATATCGACCAAAAGCCTGGATCGGAATTCATCGGAAACAGGTCGTAATAAGTAATGCTGAAACGTTCCGATGTATACCGATCCAGAATTTTGGTCTATTTTCCGAATTTTGGCTCCTCCACATAATTACGGCAATTAGATGCTATGCCGTAATGCCGTAATTCAGTAATTCTACCACCAACTATAGGTTGGATCTCGAGAATTTTTTGGTTCGAGAATTGGCCAGTCAATTTCTGCTGTTATTAATTCTCATCATTATGCCTGTCCCGTTTGGTTTGCGCCAATACATTTGACATGTGTTGTTTATGTGTGCATCTGAACTTCTCACACAGGCATTTCGAGGCTGGTGGTTGAGGCTGTTGTGTGGCTGTTTCTCTTTTCGACCACGTGATCTACTATCACAACGCATGAATATTTTTTAGATAAGTAACGATTTTATAATAATTGCTACAATAGATATACAGCCCTAACAGTTAAATAGTTTTGAATAAAATTTGCAAAGGCCAGTATTACGTCGCTACAAACAAAACTACTGCCCATTTCTTCAGAAATGAAACTAAATTAAGTTCTGTATTTTTGTCTTTAAGAAAAAAAATGACAGCGTATTAAATTTTTTTCGTGTTTAAATCAAGAAATGGCTCTATAGCTTGATTTGTAGATATATAACACTTCTTTTGCAAAACTTCATTCAAAACTATCGAATTCTTAGAGCTGTACGTCTATTTAAAATTTTGTAACAATTATTATTACCTATCGATCGCTATCTAAAACATATCCATTGATAACTTTTATTATATGACCTCATATAGTTTTGACTTGCATATGTAGTACACTGCGCATCCTAATGATACATGCTGGTATACCTATTTTTGAAGATAATATTCTAACATTCCATGCCTCTGAATTTTCACGTACAGCCTAATTTCAAATAATAAGTTGTAATTGTTGTAAAGGTGTTTTCCGAAAGTCAAAAATTTTAACGAAAATCGAAGTCTTATGAAAGTTGAATGAGTTATCAAAAGTCGAAAGTACTACAAAAAGTTAAAATCTTACCTATTAAAGTCCAAAGTATTAATATATTCTTGATAAGATGTACCCGATTACAAATGCTTCCTAAAATTAATATGATAAATGATAATCTGGTGTTGATTACAGAATTATTGGCAAATTTTAAATTTAATTAGAGTGACGATTAATATATAAAGTCGATTACTAATAATATCTGACTTTAAACATTAATAATCACACTATGCAAGAAGAAATAAATGTCGGGAATGATATGGACCCAATCTTTCAGTAGCACTTTCTACTTTCGGTAAAACTTTTGACTTCCATATTCAACTTTCAACTTCTAGTAAGATCCTTTCTGCAGGCGTCCTTAGTTGATCGACAGTTGCATTTATATAAAATTAGCAATTCTGTATGAATTTACTTTTAAATTCATCGTAAATTATCTACAGTACAATTATTCTTTTACTATTTAGAATTTCTAACCAAATTTTTATTGAATAATGGGAATTCAAGGTTTTGAAACATGGATAAAGTATACTAAGTTTAGATTTATTTTCGTTTATCATAAAAAAGCATCAAGTTTTTGACAAATTTATATATTTTATTATTAGAGATCAATATAAGTTCGTAGAGTATATCAAGAAAGGATTGTATGTGGATTTGATAAAGTTCTAATTGAATTTGTAACAATTTTATATGTAATATGCTTATACTAATATCTATTTTAAAAAAGCATCAAAGAGTATCCAGATAATTTTTATATCGATATGAACGGAATTATTCATGGAATTATTGATGAAAACTTGAACAAATATAATGGCTCAAATAATTATATTTTCTTTAATGCCATATGCAAATATATGGATGATTTAATTTTTATGATCAACCCCAAGAAATTAATTTTTATTGCAATAGATGGTATTTATTTTACTTAATATTTTTATTGATGATGTTAAACTTTGATTTATAAAAATATATTGAATTCCTGTCCCTTTGCAAAATAGGTGTTGCTCCAAGAGCAAAGATGAATGAGCAACGTAAGAGACGATTTGAAAGTGCTAATGAACATAATAAATTTGATAGAAACTCTGTGACTCCAGGTAAATACATAATAAAAGTAAGTTTATAATGTTAATGTGTAATCAAATTATCCTATATTACAAATTATTAGGAACAAAATTTATGAATGATCTTTCAAAGAATATCAAAGAATTTATTACTGATAAAACTCAGAATGATGTTGGCGATTGGGGAAGCCAAAAAATTATATACTCTGGTCATGACGTGCCAGGTGAAGGGGAGTATAAAATATTAGAGCATATTCGTCGTTCTGAATCAAATAATATAAATCATTTGATATTTGGAAAAGATTCGGACATAATTTTGTTGGGACTTTTACAATATGAAAAAAATATCAATGTAATTTGTACTGACAAGTAAGTCTTTTTTTTTCGTAATAAATTTACATTATGCTATTTTATACATGTTGGCACAAATTTCACTATAATTATTTTTTTTAGAATCGATTCAAGATCAAAAGAGTTTGAAATAAAAGCATTACCAACTTTACGTAAAGAGTTAGAAAAAGAATTTAAGAAACTTTGGGATCATGATTCTCAACCACCTTTTGAATTTGACATTGGAAGCATAATAAAAGATTTTGTATTATTGACATTTTTTGTTGGTAATGATTTCGTAACGGCATTGCACAATATTAATATTAAATGTAAAGGACTTGATTTGGCCATTTTTATTTATAAAGAAGTGTTAAAAGATTGTGGTAAGACTTATTAAAGTTTTATTAAAAATATCTTTTTTATTAAATTGGTTATTAAATTTTAAATTAAATATATTTTTTATCTGCAGATACTTATATTAATAATGGGGGAAGCTTGAATATTAAAGTTCTTGAAAAGATTTTTACAAAATTGAGCATAATTGAAAAAAAAATTTTTAAATACAATAATACTGTAAATTATTTAGAACTGTATAAGGAAATTCAAAAAAAAACTATTGAAACAGAAAATGGAAATGAAGCCGAATTTCAAAAATGGAAAAACAATTATTATCGGAATCATGATCGAGAAATTTTAATTCAAGCATATATTAAAGTGTTACAATGGACAATTTCCTATTATAATGGTGGATTAAAATCTTGTAGATGGTTTTATCCTGGACATTATTCACCAATGATATCAGGTAACTTCTTAATAAGTAACAAAATGATATTTGCATGCGTATAACCTAAAAAATCTCATTTCAGATTTACAAGATCTAAAAATAAGTGAAATAAATTTTGATGATGAAGACTATTATAAACCATTTGAACATTTAATGTTTGTTTTACCTCCTACAAGTAAAAATCTCTTACCGAGGGCATATCAGGTATATAAATTTATTGAATTAAGGTTATTTTAAGTTATTCAAGCTATAACATTATTCTATTTAGGACTTTATGAATGATCCCCAAATTGAAGAATTTTATCCTAAAACCACGAAAAAAAATTATATGCTTCCATTTATTGATGAAGAAAAATTATTAACTTTGTTAAAATGTAAATAGCTAAACTTAAATTTCATCATGACTTAGGAATTGGCTGATAATGAAATTATTAATGCTAAGAAATGGTCCTATTTAATTTAAAATATTATGTTTAAAAGTGTAAATAAAAGTAGACTTAACATATTCAAATAGAGCCAAAAATTTGGTATCATTATCAGCACTACAATTACTTTATAATACTATTTAACTTATACAATTTTCAATTGGTTATAGCAGCAGAAAACAAGCTAATTGAAGAAGAAAAACTGAGAAACACGTTTGGATCTCCACAGAAATGGAATGATCTATATTGAAAACTTTAGAGATCATATGATGTCGACGACCATTGCAGTTTCGCGTAATATTTGTGCGTATAATGATATTGAATTAGACCTTAAATTGGGTTTCAAATTCATCATTAATAACGGGTCTAACACTAGCATTATTAAAGATCCATTTAATTGGCTAAAATCTGATCTTCTTTTAATTGGCCAAAATTAGAATTAAATTCCGATTGGTTCATATCGCAAAAATGTCTTTTAATAAAAGCAAAAGTACAGGAGCCTTTAAATATGCCCTTAAGTTTAAAAATTATATGCTTAGAGTGTTTAGTTTATATATATATATTTATTAGTTTGTTTTTTATGTATTTATTACAAAATTGGTATCTCGTTCTGTAGTATTAATAAAAAATATGCATTTGCACACAAATAAATAATAAATTGAGTAAAATTCGTGTGTTAATATATTTTAATTCATAAAGTAAAAACATGTCAAATATAATCATTTCAAAACTTTTGCAATAAAAATGCTGAAAAGCAAAATTAACCATGGTTTATGTTCTATTATTTTTGTAATAAAAATTCTAAAGATTTTCAATATCTATCTAGCTTGGCAATAAAAAAGACATCCATTAAAGTTAATCTTTTGCTGTATTCTTATTTGCTGCTGGTCACCAAATTTGTAATTCTCATTATGCAGCTATTGTTAAAAATCAGTTATCTGCATTTGTATTAAATGAGTTTTATAATAAAGCATTTACTTTAATATTATCAATTAATCTATTACTTGGTGATCAAATTAAAAAAATAATAAGCATATTGTGAGGGGCGGATTTGGGACTACCAGGTTCCTCATGGTTAAACTAATGCAAAGATACAAGGCAACTCAAAAGAATGGCATGAAAGATTTGGTCTGAGAACCAAGAATCCTACTGCCACTAAGATTCTAGTTTTAAAGTATGTTTTTATTAATATTCAATAATAATATATCTTTATTTAACTGTCTTTTTACTAACAGAAATTACAGAACTTTTATACAAGAGAGTTACAGTAAAGGCTTTGACACAGCTTAATTAAATTGAGTATTAGAAAAGAGGAAATCTACAAGTTACAATAAATTATTTATATAAATATAAATTAAAGTTATTATTTAATTGTTCTCAATAAGATTTACCTTAAGCTAAACCCAATATAGTATTTTATTAAATATGCAGAATCTTTTGGCTTAGCTTCAGTTTGGAATCTTGGTTAGGGTTATGATTATGTTTCTCACATGTTTACAGCTAGGTCATGTTTTGTCTTTTACAATTCTCTTAGTCTTATTTTATTCATATTATATATAAAATTATAATAGTAGAGTTTAAGTAAAGAGTTTTTCAGGTTTTAGACATCTTAAAGAAATAATTTTACTTAGGAGTATAAATTTAAGAAGTTAAGATCATCTAGGTTTTTTTTACTTTATTGTTATATATTTTTTTTAACTTTTATTGCAACTCTTTTAATTCACATATTTTTTATCTTTTTTGCACAAGTCTTATTTCTTATTATATTAGGCTCTATTATTACAACTTATAGGCAAGTTTATTTTACTTTTTGCCTTAAGACTTTAGCTTTGATATTAGGTTTCTTTAGTTTATTTTATAATCATAACCAAAATATGAAGATGAATTTAAGATTATTAGGTTTTTTATAATTAAAATATAACAAATATAATGCAAATCATAAGACAACTTAAAAGAAAGTTATAGAAGATTGGTCTAAGAATCAAGGATTCTATTGTTACTAAAATCCTGATTTTAAAATATGTCTTTATTAATATTTACTAATAACATATTTTTGTTAACTGGCTTTTTATAAGTACTATAAGTAATATTTCTGTTACTTTTCATGTGATCTTGAATCAGGTAAGGATCATTACCAAGATTTGGGCACCTGTGATTCCAAAAATTGAGCTCATAGTATAAAAGCAAAGTGGTTAGTACTGAGATGTCTGCATAATTTTATATATTTTTAAGAAGTTAAATATGATGTTTAGTAACTTATACAAATGTTGTTTTAAAAAAAAAAAGCTCAGTTTTAATCCTATTAGATAAATTATAATAATTCTTAAATTAATTAGAATTATACTACTGTTACAATTAAAACTAGAGATGAGAAAATTAAGGTTTTTTTGAATTTACTGTGAAGGCTGTGCAGCCTGCCAAACTCAGTTCTTAGAGACTTTTATTTATTAGATTTTGCATCTATATATATAAAACATCTACTTCATATATGTAAAGTTGGGCTTCCATTATTTTTAATTAGTACTTCAAGCTTAGTTTAAATATTGTTTTGTAGTTTTTTCACTTTTTCTCTGCATATCAGTAAATTAATAATTCTGGTCAAATTTGCAGATCATTTGGCCAGATCTAGAACAAAAAAACTTTAAATATAGTCAAATGATCTGCAATTTTGATCAGAATTATAAGTGATGGATTCTATTAATCAGATGATGCAGATCTATTTTTCCTTTAGACCAATCTGAACTGATTTCCAATTTGTAATTCAAATCTGGATTATAAAGCTGGCCAGAATTATAAAAATTGCACTGTGCAGCCTTAAAAAATGCCTGTGCAGACTGTATAGTATCACATCTCTAGGTAAAACTCTTTAACTTTTATAAAAACTCAACTTTTATAAGAGATGCTTGAGGAATAATAAAAAAATACACTTATAAAGATAATATATATATTTGAGCTAAGATTTAAGAGATCATTTAGAGAGATTGTATAATTAGAGGCTTATTGCAATAAATATTTAGCTATAATTAAATTTAAATCTAATCTATATACTGTTAGAATATACTACAGATTTTATCTAGAAAATGATAAATTTTGTCTAACTGTATTCATTTATTTTAGCTATTCTAAGCTCAATACTTCAAAGATATATATTTTTTAAATGTATACTTAAGAATTGAACCATTTATCACTTTACTAACCTATTTACTATTATTGAATGCTTGATTCTCTTATTTTACATTTGTATTTAATCACAAATCACTATATAGTATAGACTAAAAGACCCCTTTTATAATACTCTTCTTGATTTTTGAAGGTCTAGAATATAAAGTGCTACAGATACTAAGAACAAATTAATTGACTTGTGAATATAAAATACTCAGATACTTAACAAATCAATTATGAAATTTTTTAACTAAAATATAATGAAATTAATATAGTATAAATAATTTATTTTAAATATATCTATTAACAAATATTTATTATATTTATCAGTTACATGAAATA